CTGAACACAGAATAAAGAAAACTGAGAACTTCAACTGCTTCTCGTGTCTGCTTCCCGCCACGGACTCAACACTGTACCAGTTTCAAATCATCTATAATTTCTCCATGATGGTGATTTCTAAACAATCAGAAATAATGCTTCCTCTTTTGGCCAACTAAAGAAAGTAAATGCTTCTTGGATTTAAAAAAAAATGCTGCCAAAAAGCTACTGCACATGAGAGCCAGTTTGGTGTACTGTACTAACTAAGGCACCAGGCTAGAAACCAGGAGTCCATGAGTTCTAGTTTCATTTTAGACACAAGGCTAGCTGGGTGATCATGGACCAGTCACTCTCTCTCAGCCCTAGGAAGCAGGTAATGGCAAACTAATTTCAAAATCTTGGAAAAAAAAAAACCTGCAGGGACTGCTCCAGGCAGTTGCCAGGAGTCACAGCTGACTTGGAGGTATGCACGCACACACACACACACACACACGCACACACGCACACACGCACACACACAGAGCTGCATATAGGCTGGCCACTCCTATTAGTCTCTTATGCTCAATATAAAGGATTAGGCAGTATCCCTAGCAGAGAAATTCAAGCATTCATAAGGAATTCTGACATCCTTAATCTACAGAGAAACACCATCTAAAGCTTGGCTGTCAGAATCAACCAGAATTTGAAACGGCCCCTGAATGTATAAAAAGGCCTTTTGGAAAAAGAGAATAATATATTTTTACCCCTTTTCTCTTTAAATATTTTCCCCTTTTTGGTTCTTTTAATCATGCCAACTGCTCAGAGTGGTTTGAGAATTGGGCAGCCTTACAAATCTAATACAGATAGTCCTTAACTTACAACCACAATTGAGCCCAAACTTTCTGTTGCTAAGCAAGACAATTGTTAAATTAATTTTGCCCCATTTTATGATCTTCCTTGCCACAGTTAAGTGAATCACTGCAGTTGTTAAGTTAGTAACACGGTTGTTAAGTGAATCTGGCTTCTCCATTGACTTTGCTTGTCAGAAAGTTGAAAAGTTGATCACGTGACCCTGGGACACTGTGACCATCATAAATATGAACCAGTTGCCAGTTGTCTGAATTTTGATCACATGAACACGGGATGCTGCAACAGTTATAAGTATGAAAAACGGTCATAAGTCACTTTTTCAGTGCTGTTTTATTGTTGAATGTTCAGTAAATGAACTGTTGTAAATCGAGGACTGTCTGTAAATCAATCAGGGGAGCACTCATCTTTTCTAGCTTAGGCACTGCCATTGCGTGTTCGATTTGTTGTATCATCCCTCCCACCCTCCCTTCTTAGGGCCTTTCCCCATTGCTGATAACAATCCATCACTGAGCCGAAGTGAAACCATAATGGCACAAACTTTGCTGTCCCCACTTCCAAATCTTTTGCACCTTCTATTGCATCTGTTTCAAGCCTTTATCAAAAACTTACAAAGCAAATTTCATGCTTAGAACCATTAAGGAGCCAAAAATAAAGCACCATGGTTCCCTGATGTATCTGTAATAAAACGTGTACTCCCAATACCCCCCAAAATGATATTGTAGAGATTCATTTACAAGAATGGATAAGCAAAATATAGCAAATAAAGCAGCTTTTCTTCATACAATAAGCTACAACATCAAGGCAGGAGTCTGAAAAAAGATCCCTGTAAATAGATCCCCTGTTAAAGTTAATAGGATTCTTAAATCAGCTATCATTTTTACTCAGGATCCTTGAACAACTCAAAAAAAAAGAGCTGCTGATGATTTTTAGAAAAGTATTGTGTTTGCAGAAGTTCCAGATCACTTCTTCTGAAAAAAAATTGAAAAACATGCAATCTTAATACATTTGCTTCAGCTGTTGTTAAATAAGTGGCATTTGCAAATTATCTGTGTGAAATCACAGTGTTCATTATCAGAATTGCTTAGTTCTGTTCACTCTGGATAGGTTTTTTTATTAACATACCCAATTTGGCAAGCAATTCTTTCCTCTTCTGGAAATTCTACACATTCACTTAAAACAGACTTAGAAAATATACAAATGATCTCTATTTTGAAACAGGTGATCTTCCCCACTTCACTTTCTCAGAAAAAATATTAATTTCACTCTTCCCTAAAACACAGGAAATAGGGGGTGTTTTGCTGAAATAACTGAAAACGGTACTGAAATAACATCTTTTTCTTCCCATAAAGCAAAGTGAACAGTGAATTTCTTTAGAAGTTATAAAAATATTTCTTTACATTATTATTTAGCATTTTAGCTCTGTCTTGTTTATGACATTATATTTTACAAAATGTCCCACATCAGAAGTATCAGGGAGCATAACTTGCTGCAATTTTTTCTAATATTTTTTTAATTTCTCCCTTGCGAAGTACCAGTAAGTATGAAAGCAGACCTATGATGATTTCAAAATATACACAGCAGTAGCTCAATCAAGACAGGTTTCCCTACATTTCATAAGTTAAGACTGTTGTGGCTGCATCAGTTTTGGGCTCGATTGTGGTAGTAAGTCGAAGCCTACCTGTATCTTGTGTGAATCAGTAGGAGCTTAAACCATCACATTCCATGTACTGAGTCCATGCACACTGTAGATACATACATATGAATCTGAAGTTTCTGCTATTGGATGCACTGAGCAAAGCAGTCCTTAAGGAACATGAAGGCTAATACAAGTATTCTTCAACCTACGATCACAATGGAGCCCAAAGTTTCTGTTCTTAAGTGAGACATGCCCCATTTTTAAGTGAGTTTTGCTCTATTTTACGACCTTTCTTGCCACAGTTGTTAAGTGAATCATTGCAGTTGATAACTTAGTAACCCAGTGGTAAAGTGAACCTGGTTTCCCTATTGACTTTGCTTGTCAGAAAGTCAGAAAAAGTGATCACATGACCTTGGGACACAGCAACAGTTGTAACGGTAAATATGAACCAGTTGCCAAGAATCTGAATTTTGATCAGATGATTATGGAGATGCCGCAAAGCTCGTAACTGTGAAAAATGGTCATAAGTCACTTTTTTGAGTGCCATGGTAATTTTGCTCACTAAATGAACTATTGTAAGTCAAGGACTACCTGTACCTACCACATGCCCATAGCAAGAACATTGTATTAAGGCATTCAGAGTCTGTCCTGTTGAATAAGGAGCAGCTGCTTAATTTGCTTCCTTATAATCACACATCTTTATAGCCTTAGGGGAAAAAACCAAACATTTTGGTATGGACTGGCATTTGTCTTCCACACTGAGTTAACTGAAAGCCCACACCCGCTCAGTGTTTTCCCCAATTCTCTCTTTTTGACTCTTGGGTGGTTTTTCTCAGAGTACTTTCACAGATAACATTTGCATCACTCCCAGATTAGCTCCATCAAGTCCTATACATTAGGAAACTGAGCCAATTCTGATTTTTTTTTCTGGTTCAACTGTGGTGCATCAGAACTTGCTTCAACTTTCCAGGTGAAATGCTGGAATTCCATAGAGTTTGGAATGACCCATTTTCCCATTAACAAGAACATGTCTTCTGGACTCTCCAACCCAGACTTCCATTTTTTTATCATTTTTTTTCTTTTTTCTTTCAATAGCTTTTAATACAATGGCTTTAGCATTAGCTCAAACAAGCTGTAAGATGGACAAATTGTGTTTTCATAGCTCCTGGTGATAATTCTAGGACAGAGCTTGTCAACTGGTGGTACGCTTACCACTGGTGGTACACCAGCACCTGGCAGGTGGTACGCGTATGACAGGTTAAAAAGCACTGTAAAAAAAGTGTAAAAGTGGATGAGGTCAAGCAGCAGCAGTGCCACACAGGCTTGTGGGAAAGTCAGCTGGAGCTGCTTGAAGTGTTGCCTGGGTTCTGCTGAGAGCCCAGGATCAGCACATGCAGCTACAGCTGATTGGCGCTTCCAGCGCACCTGGAGAGAAAAGGAGGAGGGGGGAGAGAGAGGAGAGGCTATAAAAGGAGCAGGTTTTGGTGAGAGAGGGAGAGAAAAAAAGACAACAGGGAAAAGAGGAGGGGACAGTGAAAGAGAGGAGAGGCGTAGCCTTTGAGAGAGAAATCAGCTGGAGGTGCACCAAAGAGAAAAGGGAGGGGGAGAGGAGACGATATAAAAGAAGGGGGGAGAGAAGAGAGGATATAAAAGAAGAGGGGAGAGAAGAGAGGATATAAAAGAAGGAGGGGAGAGAGGAGAAGATATTAAAGGAGGAGGGTGATAAATTTGTTAAATGAGTTTTGCCCCATTTTATGACTTTTCTTGCCACATTTGTTAAGTGAATCACTGCAGTTGTTAAATTAGCAACACAGTTGTTAAGTGAATCTGGTTTCTCCATTGACCTTGCTTGCCAGAAGGTTGCAAAAGGGGATCACATGACCCTGGGACACTGTGACCGTCATAAATATGAATCAGTTGTCAAGCATCCAAATGTAAATCACTTGACCTGGGGATGCTGCAATGGTCATAAGTGTGAAAAATGGTCATAAGTCACTTTTTTCAGTGCTGTAGTAACTTCAAACAGTCACTAAGCGAACTGTTGTAAGTCAAGGACTATCTGTACTTTATCATTTTTTTTCCTTTTTGGGGGGGTCATCAAGTTTTTGACACTTTGCTAGGTGACTGGTGGTACTTGAATATTGCCATATCCTAAAAGTGGTACAATCTGTGAAAAGGTTGAAAAGCTCTGTTCTAGGAGACTCTTATTTAATATTAAGCCCTGCCTTTTATCTCATATACTTTTCAACATCAGATTAAACTACTTAGATTGCTTAATGTTTATGACACAGGTTGAATTCCACAGATGAGAGGCCATCAGTTCGTTTTTTTCATGGTTAAATATGCAAACACTCTCCTATCTAATCTAGCATGATCCACTTCTCTTGTTAAACAACTATGACCCTTGCATTTTCTTTCAGTAGTGGTTTGTTGAAAAAGCTTGTTATTCTTCCATATTTGATACACAATCTTGGATAAAAATATGCATTTGAAGATTTTAAGGTCAATGGGGTAGCATTATTTTGTTTACTTTTACCTAAAGGGAGTCTTCCTTTCAGTCTTCTTGAATACAAGGTAGCTTTCTCATTCTTACTGAGTGAAGGGCCCATCACAAGCACTTCATCAGTCCTTTCAGCAAATGCATGGAACCTAAAGTGAAAAGCATATTAATTTGTAATCATAGGATATAGATATACATCTGGAATCACAGTGTGACCTCCTTTAGGAGGAAAAGTATTAAAAGTAAAACAATACTGTACCATTCTGGATGACCTTGGATTTTTCCTTCTCCCACCCTGCCTACCTCACATAGTTCTTATAATAGAGGGGACAGAGAAGAATCTCTGCCAATTTAAGCTCCTTGGGAAGGTAGAAATGTAATTTAAATTCCAAAGCAGCTGGTAAACAGACATGGGCAATATGATACTCTTGTGACTTTATCGGCTAGTTAATAAAATCTATTCTGGAATATCATTTAGAAGAGAATGCCAAAAGTCATTCAAGAAGTCAGGTTATATAACTATTTTCTACATTATTCATTTTTTTACCATGTGGTTATTAATCAGGGCATTTGTCATAGTATTAAACAAAAAAATTATCATTTTTTTTAAAGAACCATAGTTAGTTCATTGACATCAACTTTCTAACTGTAGAACATGGGTGTATCGCGGCTCTTTTTCCATTGCCGTCAATGGGGTGGGCGCAGCTTCGGTATGATGAAACCGACTCACAGGCCGGCAGTTTGACACCCCTGCTGTAGAACTACACATTCAATCAGCTGTTACATTTCTTCACTAGACAACAGATTTACAACCATTTTTTTTATTATCCCCGACACTACTAGCCTTCCAGAGATCTTTCAAGAAGTGAGTTTCAAACCAGGCTTGGGGATCCCTTGAAAATAAGGAGGCCACAAGACGGCTTTATGAGATATGAGTTTTTAAACCCCTATATATGCGTTTATTTTTTAATATTTATTTTAAAATGTGCCTTTCTTGGGTTTTTTTAATGGTACACTGTCCAGAGTTACATACTAAAATGGGTAGCTATATAAATTTAATAAATAACTTATTTTTTTCCAGTACATCAATGTTCCTGGCCATCATACCTTGAAAATCTGGAAAGTGCAGCTCAGCACATCCAAAGGAACTGATTGGAAAAGATATTCTAAGTGTTTTATCTAGAAAGATGATAGATATGCCCTCAGACACCAGGGAGATACAACCCTTAAAATTATTCCAATATGTTTAGTAATTGCTTCAAGAGAAAAGTAAATAAAGATTCAGCCTTCATCATGCTAAGCTATCATGAGGTTTATTTGATGTTAGCTTAATGCAGTATATGGATTTAGTCAATTGCTTGCAATTTGTATTCTCTTTGGACAGCAAATATGGCTTTTCAACAAACCCTGCCAGCAACTTTGTCATTAAGATAGGAGAAATGAGTCATACACCAAGGATTTGCATAGTCCAGATTTTTCCAACATGGATATATGTTAGACTATAGTTCCCATCATCCCAAAATAACCTGAAGAATGTGGTCTAATCTAGCCAGAAAGCATCAGTGTAAGCAACTACAGAAGGACCTATTATCATAGGGATATATAGAGCTAACGTTGTTAGATATCCCATTTACTTCATACCTGCCAGTGGTTAGCTGACTGAGATCCTTTAAGAAAGCAACTGTTTCTTCTTCTCTAGCATTGAAAGATACGGTATGGATTGGACATGGACTTCTTGAGATCTTCTGTATGAGCAAGTGCTTTGCACATTCTGGTATATCACCCACCACAAAATAGTATACAGCTTCTATCTGAAGTGAAGAAGTCATTCAACAAAAACATTTACAGATCTTCAGGTCAAAGGAAAACATGCTCCACACACACAACAAGCTATACATCCTTTCTATTTTTGATTGACAAAATTGCTAAAATAATAAAATAGAGAAATTAAAATTCTCTAACAATAAGAATGCTCTTAGCATGCAGAATACTCAGAAAAAGCTAAGATATACAGTGGTCTTCATATTACCAATATGGACCTTCATGTTCAATTCATACGTGGACTTGTACAGTACACATTTTAAATAGTGTCAAATGTCATCCTTGTTTGTCATCAGGGTCACAATGAAGTTGAGTGCCTTGGTAAATTTATCACACTTTTCATTTAAAAATGAAAAAGGAAAGTTTATAGTAGTTAAGGAATAGGATTCTGTTGCATCATTATTTGACTAAAAGAAGCAGCTGTGAAAAACTGAAAAACTGTTCTAACTGAAATATCTGGATTGTCTTGTAGCAGAACTATTAATTTTACAACCTGTATCCATATACAGTTCTAGAATACATTTTCTTGAAGGGGGAATTATTGAGGGGGTTGGACATACTACAACAGACTGCAGATAAGGGCTCACAGGACTGAATTACTACATGCTAAAACTATGTAATAATTAAAAAATGGGTTCCAGCATTCTGAATTCAGATAACTAGTGAATTGTGTATTGAAACAATACATCCCCAGGACATCTACGTATTCCCATGAAGAAACAGGCTTAGGAACAAATTGTTTTTTGATAGCTAAGATCAGTTTTATGAGGACAAAGTTACATGGAACAAAGTTAACATTTTTAATGAAAGGATGAAGAATGACGCATTCTACAGCCATGTTGCCTTTTATATGAACAGTTTGAAAATTTTATCACCTGAAGGAATTAAGATTAACCTGGGTCTGGCCAGATTCAGTTGCATAAACTAAGAGCTTCTGATATCTGCATGACATCAATATTACACACAAGGACTACACAAACCATTTGAAGAGACATTTTGCCAAGCAACTGAAACATTTCCTTCGAAGTCATTGTTTGAAGCATCAAGTTAGACACTCTGAAGTTTCCAGGCCTTCAGCAGAAGTCCTAGTGAGAGTGTTTCTGAGCATCTATGGAGGTCTGGAGGCTTGAAGTGGTTTTTCTGGATCTTTGGGAATTGCATCTGTTTCATTGCTGAAGCAGCAAATTCAGAAGGTGACTTTATTCACTTCACAAAGCATCACTCCTGATGTTTTATCAACTGTTTTTAATAAAAGTAGTAGTTTTTTTTATAAAAATAAAAAATTGTTATTTCTTCTTCCATAAAAAGGATTGTCTTTTCATGATTTCCTCAATTTGGTGCCCTCTAGAAGAGTTTGGTGACAAATTATCACCATAGACAATCCAGGAATTGTATGTTATGCCTATAAAATTGCACATTCATAACAAGAAGTTTTGCAAGAGTGATTGGGTTCCAAGCTCTAGACACAGTGATAATTTGTCCATATTCTATTTCAGAAATCAGTTTCATTGACTGATGTGGAACCCACTGCCTATATCAAAAGAGCCATGTTATACGGCTCTTTTTAAAGAATGTTTTCCCCCAGATGCCTGTTGTTCTGTGATTTGTTTTTTTAAATTGTTTTCATATTGTGTGCCATCAAGGTCACAATGAAGTTGGATGACCTGATTAATTTAATAAATAAATAAAGCTTCCATTTTCCAGAAAGAAGAACTATTTAAATTTCTCTCTTATGCTGTGTTACCAGAGTGGTTGACAATATCTGGACTTGCTATGTTTATATTTCTGTAGCAGATATACAGAAAGCTATTTCCTAATTGAGGTTGGATAACAAAACACGATATAAAAAAGATGTTGAGACTCTCTAGAAAGAGTACAGAGTACAGAGACGAGCAATAAAGATGATTAGGAGATTGGAGGCTAAAACATATAAGGAACGGTTGCTGGAATTGGGTATGTCTAGTTTACTGAAGAGAAGGCCGAGGGGGGCATGATAGCAGTGTTCCAATATCTCAGGGGCTGCCACAAAGAAGAGGGAGTCAAGCTATTCTCCAAAGCACCTGAAGGCAGGACAAGAAGCAATGGATGGAAACTAATCAAAAGAGAGAAGCAACCTAGAACTAAGGAGAAACTTCCTGACAGTTAGAACAATTAACCAGTGGAACAACCTGCCTCCAGAAGCAGTGAATGCTCCAACACTGGAAGTTTTTAAGAAGAGACTGGACAGCCATTTGTCTGAAATGGTATAGGGTTTCCTGCCTGAGCAGGGGGTTGGACTAGATGACCTCCAAGGTCCCTTCCAACTTTACTATTATTATTATTATTATTATTATTATTATTATTATTATTATTATTATTATTGATCATTGCACAATCAGCCAGATGTTCAGACTGAATTTGGCATTTTGTCTACCTATTGAGTCCTTACCAAGGACCTGGGATAGGCAGATGTGGATGTTTGATATTATTACAGATATCATCGCAGGATAGAGGTACTTCCTAGTAAGGCCGCCTTTTGCAATTGACTAATGGCGAATTTGTATTATTATTATTATTATTATTGATCATCGCACAGTTCAACCAGATGTTCAGACTGGATTTGGCATTTTGCCTATCTATCAAGTCCTTACCAAGCACTGGGATAGGCAGATGTGGATGTTTGATGATTGTCATGCCTCTGTCCGAGCCTGACTCTGAGGAAGACATGGAGTTCCCTGTTGAGGCCCAGGAGGGGGTGTCTGTGGCTTCGGAGGACTGTGGGGAGGAGCAGGCTGAGGCAGGCCAGGGCCCTTCAGATTTGGAACAGGGAAGGCAGAGTTCAGGCGAAGAGCAAGGCCCCTCCCCACCTGATCCTAGAGCAAGGAGAGCAGAGAGGAGAAGGGAACAACGGAGGCAAGCTCATTTGCTCAGGAGGAAAGTTTCCCGCCCCACTCCACAAGGCACACCTGGGGAGTAGGATTTAAGGAGACGCTGTGAGGTGGGGCATTTGCTGGAAACAAACGTGAAATCTTGAGATAGTGTGCTCTTGTAACCTGGACACTTTCTATTCTGGACCAGTTTGCTTCCTGCTGATCTTGCCTTGCAGTCTGCAGTTTTCAGTTTGCAGTTCACAGGCAAGCTGGGAGTTAAAAGGATTATACGTTTGCTTGTTATCTGTCTTGCTTTAAGAACAGTGTAAACTTCCCTGGCTGTTTTGTTTGAACTAGTGTCAGCATATGTGGGGGCTGTTGGGTGAACATTGGCAGTGATTAAAAGACTATTGCTCTGGCCAGTTGATTGCTTTGCTTCCGTTCAGGGCCCTGGGTCCTGTAGCCCATTTTTCACCAGATAGTCAGGGACTCCAACATCTAGCGCAGACCTTGTTAACCTGGGTGACATCCGAGCCAGTATGGCATTCTGAAATTTACGTCTCAACATATTTTTTATGAGAGAGACACTCTTTGTCCAACTCCTCTGATGATTCCTGTCCAGTATGGTTGAACCTCTGGCATAGCTCTCATCTTCCTCAGAGTACACAAACCCCACAACCATGTCAAGGTAGTGCCTCACTGGGGTATTATTATTATTGATCATCGCACAGTCATCCAGATGTTCAGACTGGATTTGGCATTTTGTCTACCTATCGAGTCCTTATCAAGGACGTGGGATAGGCAGATGTGGATGTTTGATGGTATTACAGATATCGTCGCAGGATGGAAGCAGTTCCTAGTAAGGCCGCCTTTTGCAATTGACTAATAGAGAATTTGTCAATGCCAATGGTGTTCAAGTGGTGCTCCAGTTGTTTTGGGATTGCACCCAAGGCGCCTATGACTATTGCTTGCTTTTGCCACAGTCTTTCTATTTCTATTTGTAGGTCTTTGTATTTTGTTATCTACTCCAGTTCTTTCTCGTCTATTCTGCTGTCTCCAGGCACTGCCATGTCCACTGTCTTTCTTATTGACAATTGTTAAGTCTGGGGTGTTATGTTGCAGGTGCTTGTCTGTTTGAATTCTGATGATGATGATGATGATGATGATGATGATGATAATTATTATTATTATTATAATTATTATTATATTATTATTATTATTATTATTTCTCTGTCTGTAATACAGTTTTGTATGACCCTCAGCTTTAATGTAAGTCCTGTTTTTTTGTGTGTCAGCAGTGTATGGCCTACACATCCATGGAAGGCAAAAAGGGGTAAGAAAACATGTGTTACAATGCTATAATGCAAACACCAGTCCTTGCATACTTATATGCAATGTTATGGCTCAAACATATATTTGCATCATGATATTACAATGCATGCTTTCTGATTTTGGCTTCATTCTGGTTAGGAATGGATGCCAACTTTATTAACCCCACTGGTGCTGAATCTGTAGCCTGCTTTCTTTTACTAAGATATACATTATTAAAGATTTCTGTCTAAACAAATAAGTTCAGAGATCTCTGCTTCAGATATACCTGATTACCTTCAAATGATCATATCCTCATTTACTAAGGTATGATCAGTGCCAATATTTTGCCTGAATGGTACACTCACACTTCAATGTACATTATGAATAATTAGATCGAGAAATTTCCAATTGTTTCTGAACAAGCCACTACAGTTTGGCTTTTTTTTTTAAGGCGACAACTATTGTGCCTCAGTTTGGCAAGCCAAAAGAGGAAACTAAAAAGTTTGTGAACCCTATTGCATTTTCAATATTACTGCATCAACATGACCTACAATATGATCTGTTCTCCTTATAATCCCTAAAACAACATAAAGAGAACCCAATTACATATGGAAAATTCAGAAGATTTCACCAACTTTTAAATATCACTCTATATTTAATTAGACTTTCTACAAAAAATGATATTCCCATGAAAGGCTGCATGCATGGAAAAAATATTCGTGAATATTTCCACCTAACCAAAAGGGATCATTCCAACCAGAGCTATATATTTCAAAGCTCTTTGGTATCATGAGAATATTTCTTTTCCTCTTGTTCCAAGGGGAATTGGAAAGAAAGCTTCTGCCTTCAGAACAGGACACTGTCATATACATCTATTATTGGTAAACTTCAGCCTGCGGAATAACTTGAAAGAAATTCCTTCTAAATAAACCCCATGATCTTTTATTAGTACTTGGGCCCTTCATAATTCATTCCCGCAGTACTTGCAGTTAAATCTCAGTGGGGTATCCTTAGTTCTAACTGAACACTTCTGGAAATAGGAGATTACCGTATGATCAAACAATGCCTCCAAGATTGTTTCTGTAGATCCAGTGTGACAAACAGCTGGTAGGTATTCCAATGTCCAGAGCCACTCAATGGCATCTTCTATTGAGTCCTTTGTGACAAAAAGAGGTTTCCCTTGCCACTTCACAAGATCCTGAGCCACCCTGCAAAGGAAGTAATTAAAATATTTGGAGGAAATGCTACATTATCCTTTTACAAAGACCAAGAGGAAGCAGTGTGTGTGTGTGTGTGTGTGTGTGTGTGTGTGCAATTCTTTTTCTCATTTATATTTTATATGACTTTCCAAATAGCTTGCTGTCATCTAAAGTGCAGTGGTAAAAAATTAGCATATCTCACTAATAAAATATAGACAACTTACCGGATTAAATTAAATTTCTCAATTTGGGCCACTTGCTGCTTTAAGACCATAGAAAGTGCTTCTTGGCAGAGATTGAACTCACTTAAAGGAGCAGTTCCAAAATCCAGAGCAATGGTGATATTCTGTTCTTGTATTACTCCAAAAATCTGCCGACTTTCAGAAGTTAACCACTCCATTCTTCGTTTGTACAATTCAATCATTACAGTTAAACTATTTGCAAAATGAAGGAGAAGACTCTTTTTGGCTGTCAACTACATTTAAATAAAAAGAGAATACTAAATTTCAAGGTAATGACCAGAAAACTTGAGAAATATAGAAACCCTTCCTTCCTTCCTTCCTTCCTTCCTTCCTTCCTTCCTTCCTTCCTTCCTTCCTTCCTTCCTTCCTTCCTTCCTTCCTTCCAACAGATCAATAAGGGCTTATTATAATCTATGTTTACTGAAGACATATTAAACAGTTTTCCAATAAGGAGCCAAATTGGACATACCCTTCTGCAAGAAACATTTAACCATGTTGCCCTGAACAAGAAAATATTATTCATGATCAGTGTGGGTAATAAGCTATAGAAATATTTAGAATTATAATGCCCTTTAACTTACATGCATCTACTGCCCAATCGTATTTGGATATAGATAAAAAAATGGCCAAAGAGTATTTGTTTTTGTAACAATATTTCAAAAGTATTTTCCAGCACAGTCATCCTTTGAATTTATTTAATTGAAAGAGGAACTGCTGATTTAGAATAGAATCTGGGACAATAATATCTGCTGAATAATTGTAACAGAATCTAACTAATGCTGGTCAGAATGTTGCCAAGAGGAATTGGCAACACTAATTGTTGCCTTACCATCATCCATCTAGATTACCGTAATGCACTGTACATGCGACTGTTAATAAAGAATATATGGAAAATGTAGTTGGTTCAAAATGCAGGGGCCCCCAGACTTTTGGGCTCCTGGCACTGCGAACATATAACATTGGTTTTGTAGATCCTGCATTAGTTTCCGATTGGTCTCCAAGTCCAATTTAAGATACTGGTTTTGACTTATAAAGTATTTGACACCCAGATGCTTTCAGGATCACCTTCAGATCCATCTTCAGACAACCAAATTAGATCTAGCAGGAAGAAAATGGTACCAATTCCAGTTTCAGGAATTTGGGGACAAAGGGAGGCTAAGGCAAGAAGGTTCTGATCTTAAAGATCAAGCTATTTTGGAGAACTTTCCCCAATTTGTTCTGATACTACCTTATTTTTATTTTCTTTGTATTTCTGAAGCATTTTTATTATTAATTTAGACTTGATTATGGCCATCATTTTGATTCCTAGCAATCATATAGATAGATTTTCTCCATGGTGCTTTGTTCCTAATTTGATTTTCCCAGTCTTCCAACAGTGTACTCATCACCACTATAACTGAGTCCATCCATATTGCTGCTGATCAATCTTTTATTCTCTTTCATTCCACCTTTCCCAGCATTACAGCCTTGTTCAACAGTTAGGCCTTCACATAATATGTCAGATTCAAGATAATTTAAGCCTGGTCATTGAGTTTTAAGGGAGAACTCTGAGTCGATTTGTTCAATGATCCACTAGTTTGTTTTCTTGGCTGTTACAGTATTCTCAGAATCTTCAACACCAAAGTGTAGAAGTATCAATACTGTTCCAAGCCTGCTTTATCAAAGTGCAACTTTCAATTCCATAGAATATCATAAGAAATACCATCTTCTGGAGTCCATTTAAGTTCACACCTACTGCTTCAGTGACTCCATCCAGTCCATTCTCTGTCGTCCCCTTCTTCTATTGCCCTCAATCTTTCCCAACATTAGGTCCTTGTCCAGTGAGTCCTTCCTTCTCATTAGGTGGCCAAAGTATTTGAGTTTCAACTTCAGGATCTGGCCTTCTAAAGAGCAGTCGGGGTTGATCTCTTCTAGGACTGACCGGTTTGAATGCCTTGCAGTCCAAGGGATTCGCAGGAGTCTTCTCCAGCACCATAGTTCAAAGGCCTCAATTCTTTGGCCCTCAGCCTTTCTTATGGTCCAACTTTATTAGCCATACATTGCAACTGGAAAAACCATGGCCTGGATTATACGCACTTTTGTTGGCAGGGTGATGTCTCTGCTTTTTAGGATACTGTCTAGATTTGCCATAGCTTTCCTCCCCAGGAGCAAGCGTCTTTTAATTTCTTGGCTGCAGTCCCCATCTGAGGTGATCTTGGAGCCCAGAAAACTAAATCTGTCACTACCTCCATTTCTTCCCCATCTATTTGCCAGGAACTGAGAGGGCCGGATGCCATGATTTTGGTTTTCTTAATGTTGAGTTTCAAGCCAACTTTTGCACTCTCCTTCTTCACCCGCATCAAGAGGCTCTTTAGTTCCTCTTCACTTTCGGCCATTAGAGTGGTATCATCTGCATATCTTAGGTTGTTGATATTTCTCCCGGCAATCTTAATTCCAACTTTTGATTCATCTAGCCCTGCCTTTCTCATGATGTGCTCTGCATATAAGTTAAATAGGCAGGGCAACAATATACAGCCTTGCCGGACTCCTTTTCCAATTTTGAACCAATCAGTGGTTCCGTGTTCGGTTCTCACTGTTGCGTCTTGACCCGCATATAGGTTTCTCAAGAGACAAATGAGATGGTCTGGTACTCCCATCTCTTTAAGAACTTGCCACAATTTGTTGTGATCCACACAATCAAAGGCTTTTGCATAGTCAATGAAGCAGAAGTAGATGTTTTTCTGGAACTTCCTAGCTTTCTCCATGATCCAGCGTATGTTGGCAATTTGATCTCTAGTTCCTCTGCCTCTTCGAAATCCTGCCTGTACTTCTGGTAGTTCTCGATCCACATACTGCTGGAGTCTAGCTTGTAGGATTTGAAGCATAACTTTACTAGCATGTGAAATGAGTGCAATGGTGCGATAGTTTGAACATTCTTTGGCATTGCCTTTCTTTGGAATTGGAATGTACACTGACCTTTTCCAATCCTGTGGCCACTGTTGAGTTTTCCAAATTTGCTGGCAAATTGAGTGTAGCACTATTACTACATCGTCTTTTAAGATTTTGAATAGCTCAGCTGGAATACTGTCATCTCCACTAGCTTTGTTGTTGCTCAGATTTTCTAAGGCCCATTTCACTTCACCTTCTAGGATGTCTGGTTCGAGGTCAGTGACCATCTCATTGTGGTTATCTGGGACGTTAAGCTCATTCTTCTATAGTTCTTCTGTGTAGTTTTGCCATCTCTTCTTAATCTCTTCTGCCTCTGTTAGGTCTCTGCCATTTTGGTCCTTTATCATGCCCATCTTTGCATGAAACGTTCCCTTCATATCTCCAATTTTCTTGAAGAGATCTCTGGTCCTCCCTATTCTGTTGTTTTATTCTATTTCTTTGCACTGTTCATTTAAGAAGGCATTCTTATCTCTTCTAGCTACTCTCTGGAATTCTGCATTCAATTGGGTGTATCTTTCTCCTTTGCCTTTCGCTTCCCTTCTTTCCTCAGCTATTTGCAAAGCTTCCTCAGACAGCCATTTTGCTTTCTTGCATTTCTTTTTCTTTGGGATGGTTTAGTTGCTTCCTCTTGTACAATGTTGCGAACTTCCATCCATAGTTCTTCAGGCGCTCTGTATATCAGATCTAATTCCTTAAATCTATTTGTCATCTCTACTGTATATTCATCAGGAATATGATTTAGTTCATACCTGAGTGGCCTAGTGCTTTTCCCTACTTTTTTCAATTTAAGCCTAAATTTTGCAACGAGAAGCTCATGATCTGAGCCACAGTCAGCTCCTGGTCTTGTTTTTACTGACTGTATACAGCTTCTCCATCTTTGGCTGCAGATCACATAGTCAATCTGATTTCTATGTTGACCGTCTGGTGATGTCCATGTGTAGAGCCGTCTCTTGGGTTGTTGGAAAAGAGTGTTTGTTATGACCATCGTATTCTCTTGACAAAATTCTATTAGCCTGTGCCCTGATTCATTTTGTACTCCAAGGCCAAACTTGCCTGTTATTCCGGTTATCTTTTGTCTTCCTACTTTAGCATTCCAATCCCCCATGATGATAAGGACATCATTTTTTGGTGTTAATTCTATAAAGTGCTGTAGGGCTTCATAAAACTGGTCAATTTCATCCTCTTCAGCACCAGTGGTTGGGGCATAGATTTGGACTATTGTGATATTGAATGGTTTGCCTTGGATTCGAATTGAGATTATTCTGTCATTTTGGGGATTGTATCCCAGTATTGCTTTTCCTATTCTTTTATTGACTATGAAGGCTACTCCATTTCTCCATTGCTACTGATGGTTGACCCTAAAAAGCAGAAGCTATCCACTTTGATGTCTTCACTATCAATGCTAAGGCTGTTTGTTCAATCTGTGTCATTAGTGTGGTTTTCGTTATAATTTTAGTCCCATTCTTTTCACTTCAGTACTTAAAACATTTATTATTAGAGCTTGCAGAGCCTTTAGATGTTTGGCTATCAAGGAAGTATCATCAACATAGTACAAATAAAAGTTATCTGAACTGTGACAGCATAGAAATATGTTTAATAAATAATAACTTGAACAGATATGTGATATCTCTTATCCAAACATTGGACAGCTTTTGCAGGAGACCAAGGAATTTGGAGAGAATTTAGGAAGCTACATCTTGCTCTGATGCCTTAGAATTTACTCCCTGCTTTAACAGATACCTTTCTCAATGCCATTATTAAAAGATTCTTCAGATATGTGCAAGCAGCAAACATGCTTGACACAAGTAAGTTCCACAGCTGACCATTTTATGTGCCTGCACATTCTCTTCAAAAAGGAATAAATTCATTACTCTAATAAAATATAAATATATCACACTTACATTATAGAGCTTGCCATCAGATATTGCTCTGTACTGATGATACAAACCATCTGCATATCGTGAAGCCACAATTTTTCCCAAGACAGAGACATAATCTACAATATAAAGTGTTTTTCATGTATAGTTTACATCATGTGCATTCTTTCTTCATCACAGTCTCTCACAAGTTCATGAAGTAGCAACTCCTACTAAGGCAAGAATACAAACTCATACACATGTTGCTGTTTATTAACAAAAGTGACATCTAAACATCTAAAAAAGCAACACATTATAACATAAAAGAGATAGCTTTGCACGTCATATTTTAGAAATACCTTCTTTGTGCTGGAATCCAATTTGGGAAAAAATCTCAGAAAAAGTCATCTTGTTCTTCTTGAGTCCATGAAGTTGAAGCCATTTAGCAGAGGAAATGAGAGGTTGTACATCCCATTGGACATCATTTCTCCTTTCTTTTGCTTCTATCGCATTCTTAAAAACAAATGACTGAGATGTTTTCTGCTCTTTTTTGGACTTTCCATCAACAGTATCTTCTGTAAAGGGAAATAAACTTATCTATAGCAAAATTATTTAGATGTCCCCTTCTTTCCCTAGGTATTATCTTTTCTTTTTTAAAAGCTATCACTAATAAACAAATTACTCACTATTAAAAGTAATTCAACATTATGGAAGCACAAGCAATAAAACACAGTCAAACTAGAGTCTTGGACTTCAAGAGAGCTAATTTCAATAAACTTAGAGAGGGCTTGGGAAGGATTCCATGGATGAGAATCCTCAAGGGGAAAACAACTCAAGAAGCTTGGGAAATTTTGAAAAATGAGATAATAAAAGCACAGTCTAGCACAATACCAACAAAGATGAAAAATAACAGCTCTCAAAAGAAACCAGCATGGCTGCATAAAGAACTCTCTGACAAATTGAAAGATAAAAAGGACAAGTATAGAAAGTGGAAAGAGGAGCACATAACTAAGTCAGAATATCAGCAAATAGCCCGAGCATCCAAAGATGAAGTGAGGAAAGCCAAGGCTCAAAATGAACTAAGGCTTGCGACCAAAGTCAAAGATAACAAAAAAAGCTTCTTTCAACATGTAAAAAACAAGAAAAAAGTGAAGGAAATGATTGGTCCATTAGTGGGTGAAAGTGGCAAGAAGGTGACAAGCAACAGAGAGAAAGCAGAACTATTTAACTCATTTTTTGCATCTGTCTTAACACAAAAGGAAAAAACAGACCAACCTATCAAAAATAGTGCCATAAAAAACAGTATAGAAACACAAGTTAAGATAGGCAAGAAAATGATAAGTGAACATCTGTCCAGCCTAGACGAGTTCAAATCGCCAGGACCAGATGGATTACACCCCAAGGTTCTCAAGGAACTGGCAGATGTGATCTCAGAACCACTGAACTATATTTTTCAAAGATCCTGGAGCACAGGGGAACTACCAGAGGACTGGAAAAGAGCTGATGTAGTTCCTATCTACAAAAAAGGGAAAAAAATGGACCCAGGAAATTACAGACCTATCAGCCTGACCTCAATACCTGGGAAGATCCTGGAAAAGATAATCAAACAACGAATCAACGAACACCTAGAGGCAAACAAAGTCATTACTAAAAGCCAACATGGGTTTGTCAAAAATAGATCATACCAGACAAATCTTATTGCATTCTTTGACCAAGTGACAAAATTAGTGGATCAGAAGAACGCTGTGGACATAATTTACTTGGACTTCAGTAAGGCATTTGATAAAGTAGATCACAACCTACTACTTGACAAGATAGAAAAATGTGGGGTAGAAAGCACCACCACTAGATGGATCCAGAGCTGGCTGACCAGTCGTACTCAGCATGTGGTCCTCAATGGAACGGCAACTACATGGAGGGAAGTGTGTTGTGGGGTGCCCAGGGCTCTGTTCTGGGCCCAGTGCTCTTCAATATCTATATCAATGATTTGGACGAGGGGATAGATGGGGAACTCATCAAATTTGCAGACGACACCAAGCTGGCAGGAATAGCCAACACTCCAGAAGACAGGCTTAAGATACAGAAGGATCTGGAAAAGACTTGAACACTGGGTGCTATCTAACAAAATGAAATTCAATGCTGAAAAAAGTAAGGCTCTACATTTAGGCAAGAAAAATCAAATGTACAGGTACAGTATAGGGGGTACCTTGCTCAATAGTAATAACTGTGAGAGGGACCTCAGAGTCCTAGTGGACAATCACCTAAATATGAGCCAGCAGTGTGCTGCAGCTGCCAAAAAGGCCAGCGCAGTGCTAGGTTGCATTAACAGAGGGATAGAATCAAGGTCACGTGAAGTGTTAATACCACTTTACAATGCCTTGGTAAGGCCACACTTGGAATACTGCATCCAGTTTTGGTCACTGCGATGTAAAAAACATGTTGAGACTCTAGAAAGAGTACAGAGAAGAGCAACAAAGACTATTAGGAATCTGGAGGCTAAAAAATATAAGGAACGATTGCTGGAATTGAGTATGTCTAGTTTAATAAAGAGAAGGATGAGGGGGGACATGATAGCAGTGTTCCAATATCTCAGGGGCTGCCACAAAGAAGAGGGTGTCAAGCTATTTTCCAAGGCACCTGAAGGCAGGACAAGAAGCAACGGGTGGAAACTAATCAAGGAGAGAAGCAACCTAGAACTAAGGAGAAACTTCCTGACAGTGGAACAACCTGCCTCCAGAAGCGAAGCAGTGAATGCTGCAACACTGGAGATTTTTAAGAAGAGACTTTACAGCCATTTGTCTGAAATGGTATAGGGTTTCCTGCCTGAGCAGGGGGTTGGACTACATGACCTCCAAGGTTCCTTCCAACTTTACTATTATTATTATGGATCATCGCACAGTCAGCCAGATGTTCAGACTGGATTTGGCATTTCGTCTACCTATCGAGTCCTTACCCAGGACCTGGGATAGGCAGATGTGGATGTTTGATGGTATTACAGGTATCGTCACAGGATGGAAGCAGTTTCTAGTAAGGCCGCCTTTTGCAATTGACTAATGGCAAATTTATCAATGCCAATGGTGTTCAAGTGGTGCTCCAGTTGTTTTGGGATTGCACCCAAGGTGCCTATTACTATTGGTACTATCCTTGCTTGCTTTTGCCACAGTCTTTCTATTTCTATTTGTAGGTCTTTGTATTTTATTATCTTCTCCAGATCTTTCTCTTCTATTCTGCTGTCTCCAGGCACTGCCACATCCACTATCCAGACTTTTTTGTCTTTCTTATCAACAATTGTTAAGTCTGGAGTGTTATGTTGCAAGTGCTTGTCTGTTTGAATTCTGAAGTCCCAGAGCAGTTTAATTTTATCATTTTCTATGACTTTCTCTATTTTATGATCCCACCAGTTTTTGCTTATGATGCAAAATGATATTTTTTGCAGATCTTCCAATGCACCATTGTTGCTACTTTGTCATGCCACTGCTTGTAGTCAGTCTGTGCAATCTTCTTGCAACAGCTTACCAGGTGGTCCACTGTTTCTTCAGCTTCTTTGCATAGGCGGCACTTACTGTCTGTTGCTGTCTTCTCAATTTTGACTTTATATGCATTTGTCCTTAAGGCTTGGTCTTTTGCAGCCAGAATTAGTCCCTCGGTCTCTTTCTTCAATTTTCCTGCTCTTAGCCATTGCCAGGTTTTATTATTATCTGCTTTCCCAGCTATTTTTTTCATGTATTGGCCATGTAGTGCTTGTCTTCCCATGCCTCTATTCTGTTCTTCATTTGGTCTTTCTTGTAGGCCAGTTTGGTCTCTCCAGTAGTCATTAAGCCTTCCTGATATACTAATTTCAGTGCATCTTCATCATTGTTCTTCAGATATTCTTCCAAAGCCATTTTTTCTTCTTCAACCATCTGATGTACTTGTAGCATTCCACGCCCACCTCTTTGCCTTGGTAGATAAAGTCTATCAATGTCACTGCGTGGATGAAGGGCATGAGTCATTGTCATTATTTTTCTGGTCTGCCTATCCATTGCTTTTAGTTCTGCTTGAGTCCAGTCCACTATTCCAGCTGTGTACCTAATGACTGGGATTGCCCAGGTGTTGATTGCCTTTATGGTATTTCCTCCATTGAGTTTGGACTTTAAGATCTTCTTCACTCTCTTGATGTATTCACCTCTAATCTTTTTCTTGACTTCAGTGTGCTTGATGTTGTCAGCTTGAAGGATACCCAAGTATTTGTAGCAATCTTCCTCATCCAGACTATTATTATTATTATTATTATTATTATTATTATTATTATTATTATTATTATTATTATTATCGATCATCGCACAGTCAGCCAGATGTTCAGACTGGATTTGGCATTTTGTCTACCTATCGAGTCCTTCCCCAGGACCTGGGATAGGCAGATGTGGATGTTTGATGGTATTACAGGTATCGTCGCAGGATGGAAGCAGTTCCTAATAAGGCCGCCTTTTGCAATTGACTATTATTATTATTATTATTATTATTATTATTATTATTATTATTATTATTATTATATCTGTAATCTGCTATAGATCCTAGAACTTCTAACCACTGTGATTGCTCCATTTCTCCAACATAACGTTTTGCAAATTGCTGAAATTTCTATACAATTTTATTAAGTAAAACCACTAAATAGCCAACCTACAATAACAGAGCAAGAACAAGTAATGTTCTCCCATACTTCAATGGACTGCATTGTGTTGATGCTCCTTTTATTTTTAAACCTTCACAGAGAAGAGAGTGAAAATTCACAGGAAGACTTCTACTGATATCTCTAGGTTCTTTTGAGGGCAGATCTTTCTGGGATACTATGTAGACAAGTGATCTTGAGGAGTGTTTAGCAAGCACTACATCTCTTACCTATAGTAAAAATCCAGAGGTAGAGTGATTGCCTTTATTAAGGAGGAAGAGGAAAATGCTGTTCTCCTCTGTGTAGTTCTGACCCCTCTGAGCTCCAGACCCCTTACCTCCTCAGATAAACTAAGGAAAAGCAGCCCAGGGGATGTCTCCCATCAACCAACTAATTAGTCATTGAGGATAGTCCTTGGGGTGAATAGAATACATGACTGGCTGCTCTGCCTTTTGGTAGAATAAGCAATTCCGTCAAGGATATTCTCCAGCCACAAAAGGAAGAGAAATAGTCCTACTATACTGTTATTAATATTACTTGTTATTTACATGGATATCTAAACATGCAATCCTGAAGAAAAAAATATTTTTTTGCTGCACCACTGAGGTAAGACACTACAATATAATGCTATTTGTAACTTGTCAAGATATACTTTGGGGAAGGGAATTGTTTTGTAAAACCTAAAAATTTTCAATAAAAAAAAAAGATATACTAGACATATCTAGTAGGAGTAAGCATTTAATAGATACTCACGTTCACTCCAAGCAAGCTGATTACTCATGTTGCCAGTCACTCCAAGGACACAGATTGTTTATTTTGCTTCCAAGTTCCTCTTAAATCACCAATAAAAACAAATATAATTTATTATATTGCCTGCATTTGTTCAAGGTTGTCTCAATAAACTTAAACTAGGAACAGTATTTATACATTTAATGATTTCTATAACAATAAATTTGAAGACTTTTTCAACAATAAATGGAAAGACTCCCTCAAATCTAACAAATTTATGATGCCATCAGCTTTCACAAATTATAATCCGCTTTTGCAGACCATAAAAGCTTATGCTGTAATGAATTTTTAATAGTCTTTAAAATGCCACAAGATTCTTTAAGTAGAAGGTAAACACTTAAATTATATCTATTCTGTGCTAATCACATTGCCTGCCTTTTTGGACCTATTTTCAAGTGGTAGAATTAGATATGCTCCATTTCTTGTGGAGGCTAAACAGTTTTGGCTGCCTATAGCAGGGACCCGATCCGTGGACCAGTACTGGGCTGCCACACAAACAAGCAAAGTCCCATCCACAAAATGCAGGCAGCACACAAAACCATGCCCCTTCCAGTCTGCGGAAAAACCTGTCTCCATGGGGAAACATTGTTTGCAGGCCAGGGCCTGCCACAGAAAAAGCACACTTCCTGGTTCCCATCAGCTGATAATCTTCAAAGAATGGGGCTAGGAGCATGCCCACTCTATCAAATCCAGCAAAGCTTTATCTTCTACAGTTAGCATAGGTATCTTAATCAGTATTTCCTGTTGAGAATGATAGGAATTGAAATCCAACACACCTGGAAAACACTAGGTTAGGAAAGGCTTATCTAGCTACATAGATGCTTGAAAGGAATGATCAAATCAGTCAGATAGGTAATCTCTTATATAGTTTGTAGGTTTGAAAGGTATAAATAAATAATAAAATCTCATACTACCCACAAAGGGAGTAAATATTTAGGATGAGGCTTTAAAAACACATAATATATAACACATACAATTAAAGATGCTAGCTCTGATCACTGATCAGGTTAGATCCTGGTAGTTCACTGTAGATGGTAGTGATATTAAGCATCTCAAGTTCCAAATTTGCATACAGGAAGTTAGCCTTTTGCATGCCAAGCACACATTCTGTCCTAATAAGGTAATGAATAGTTAATATAAGCTAGTACAGGTAGACTACAATTGAGCCTCAAATTTCTGTTGCTAAGTGAGACATTCATTAAGTGAATTTTGCCCCATTTTATGATCTTTCTTGCCACAGTTGTTAAGTGAATCACTGTACTTGTTAAATTAGTATAAAGGTTGTTAAGTGAATCTCGATTCCCCATTGACTTTGCTTGTCAGAAGGTCGTAAAAGGAGATCACATGACTAGGACACTGCAACCGTCATAAATATAAGTCAGTTGCCATGCATCTGAATTTTGATACATGATATCATTGTTGCTTGCACAGAAGAAGAATTACCTGAAAAGGAATCTGGTTGAGATTACATAAAATCATTATAATAAAACACAGGAGGTTCTTTCCAACATCTTTTAAAACTCTGGGAGAATGAATTGGGATTTGAAATTATAACAATTTCACAGAGACCTCTTCATATTATTACAGATTTGTCTTTAAATTTATTTCATCTAATCATTAAGAATGGATCCTGAACAAAAACTATAGGTAGCACTATATACTATTAAAATTGCACTATAAACTTGTTCCTATTTCAAGACTGTGTTGACAGGGTCGGAGATCAATTGATATAGATTGCATATCTGATAGCCATGCCCTTTGGACAGAACTTCTGTGATAAACTCATCCAACAATTATTCATGATCAATCTGTATTGGTTTGATGCCCAAATTTCCAATTGCAGATATATTGATATAAGAAATTAAATTTGTCACCTGCCAGGATAAGTTCCACAAAATTAAATAAATTTTTTCATTAGATTAGTGACTTTTGGGGAAAAAATAACAGAACAAAAAGTTCAGAAAAAGTCTGCAAGGAAGAGCCCCATTGTCAAACCTACCAGTAGACCAGTGGTGGCGAACCTTTTAGAGACCGAGTGCCCAAACTGCAACCCAAAACCCACTTACGGATCGCTGGATATCGGGTGGGCATGGCCACTGAGTGGGCGTGGCCACCGAACTGTCAGCTCATGCTCGCTTGCTGTCCACTCCAACTTGTGCTCACTCTCAAGCTGTCTGCAGCAAATGCTGCTTCCGCAGAAAGTTGCTTCTTTTATAGCCTCTTGCCTATTCTCAGACTGTGCATGCGCAGAGAGAAGGAGGGAGCAGCTGAGCCCAGCAATGGCTCGCGTGCCACCAGAGACTGCTCCGCATGCCGCCTGTAACACCCATGCCATAGGTTCACCACCACAGAGCTAGACCAACCCACAAAAGGCTAAAAAATACTTTTACTAAGTTTGGTTATAACAAAATCTTGCTAGTTTGATTGTGGGGTATGTCTTTCTCCTTCTCACACTCATGTGAATTAGGGAGGTGATGCCCTGAGCTTTTCTACATATTTTCTATTGCTGTGAATGTGAGATGTTTTTCCTTTGATGTTATTGCTTTGATAACAGAGTTCACATATTTCCGTCAAGATCATCATTCTTATTCTCTAACCCATTAGCTATACTTCCTTTAACAGATTATACCTTCTTTTCCCTTTTTGTCTGCACTCCCTAATTTTGCTTTTTTCCATTTTAACCTTTTTTCTTGTTCTTTGTATTTTACATATTTCTGAAATATAACAAGGTTGTAAAAAAAACTTTTAGAAATGATATCAACAAAATGAACTAAACCAATAAAGGAATTGGTTAGTTCAAATAATTTATCAGATCCAAAAGGCACCCAGTCCAGTCTTCTTTCCTATTCAACCTTCAGTCATCTGTATTCAAACAAATTTCTAGCCCCTTGTAAACTAAATCATTTCTTAATCATTTAATGATCGTGGTTGACTGAGCCATAGTTTGCTAAATCCAAGGCCCTGAATTTACATAACACTTACTAGTAAACCATATTTTAGGGTGCATATTTTGAAAATCCAACCACAGGAAAACAGAAGGCAGGGCTTCAGGCAGGGATTAAGGTGCCTTACTCAGAAAACTTGATTAGCCTCTACTTGCTTATTGCTCTTATCGGCTCCATATCAGAATTGGCAGAATTCAGCCTTGGTTAACGGCTTCACCAGAAATCCAAACTCAGATACAAAATAATATTGTTTTCAATATTATATCCAATATCATTCCAAACCTAGGATTTGTTTTCAGTGCCATATCTAAACTGAGCATTTTACTAGCCTAAGTGGGAAAATTCATTTTGTTGAAAAATGATTGAAATTCAGAAACTCTGGTTGGCTTTCTATTTCTTACTTTTAATCCCTAAATCACTCTGCCTGTCAACCTTTTTATTTTGATCCTACTTTTTCAATTATATGTCATCTGTCATAGATCCAAATCACAACAGTGCAACAGTCAACACTAGCAGCAACAGTCACCTTGACAACCTTTTAAAATACAGCTGTTGATGGATTGATTAGTTCAGGGGTAGGCAGCGGAGGTTGCCTACCCCTGGACTAGTTAATACACAAAAAACCTCAATATACAGTATGTGTACAATAAAGGGCATGTGCAAACATTTACTCTTTGACTGTTAACACCAAATAATTTGCTTCCTGGCAATACCCCAAGAAGAGCTGGGTTAACAAGCCACTGTCACAATGTGGGGCTGAGTTGCCAGCAGAGAAATGAGAAATATGCAGACTGCTACCAGCAATGCTAGCCTGCTATGCAGTATTCCAAGAATTAATCTCTTATCAATAGTGAATGCTAGCTAGCTTATTGTTGCATGTGAACATACAGAACAAATAATAATCATACAACATGCTAAGTCATAAGCAATGCTGTACAAACAACAATTTGCACAAGTAAGAGAACCAGTTATAAGTCATTTTAACACCATCATAACTTTGAACAGTCATTAAACAAATGGTCATAAATTGAGGAAAACTTGTACTAAGAAACATATTTAAGTAATGAATTAAAATAGATTTGGCTGTATATTGATATATATATTACTTCTGGAGAGTGTGAGTTTAGGCCTATCTTAAGCATGAAAGCAGGCTGGATGACTTTAGGCCTGTCACTTTCATTCAACACAATCCACTTTACAGGGTTGTTGAAAATAGGACGCTGGAGTATTAGGTTTGTTCACTGCCTTGAGTTATATATATAAAAAACAGAAATAAACTAATAGTAATACTGTTAGTCCTCATTTAGTAAACATATTTGGGACTGGAACCTCATCACTAAGTGATTGTTAAGTGAGGAGCTCCTGTTACCATGCCAACTTATAATAGCATTTCTGGCATTTCTGCTGCAGTTGTAGTGTGAAGCCTATGCAGTCAAATTTCATTTTATAATTTCTAATCACTTTCTTCTTTTCTTTTAGAACCATTCAATATAATGTTCTTCTTCTATTTACCTATACTTTTTCTGAGCTCTTCGGGAAAGAAACTCTTCTACAGTCACAGAGTTTTATATTATAAGAGAAGAAAGAGTGTTTCAAATCCTGAAAAGATTGTGAAAATAATGTAGCATTCAGATCCATGTAAATATTGGGGAGAGCATGACTGTCTGCGGTGAAGAGCCCCTCCTTATCCCTGGATGATCTCAGTATAATTTAGAATCCTGATATTCCAGGATTCTAAGGAACTGAGTTTTTCCATTGCTCTTATATACAGCCCACATCTGTTAAAATATATGGCATTTAATAATTTTCTGGGAATCCAGCCAGTTGTGGTTAGTTCATAAACTATGTTAAACAAATCATGGCTTAATGCAATATGTCAAAATCAGTATGCTTAAAACATGCAATTATGACTACAGCTAGTCCTCGATTTACAATAGTTAATTTAGTGACTGTTCAAAGTTAGAATGGCACTGAAAAAAGTGACTTATGACTGTTTTTCACACAACTGTTGCTCCTGCTTTTTGGAGGATCTCGCCCACCCCCCATGTGAGGTTGGCTCTAACCCTCTGATCCTTTCTTAAGGGCCTAAAGACCTGGCTCTGTCAGTTGGCTTGTGACCCCAATGGCGGAACAGCACAGTGGAGGTGGTTGATCAAGTAACAACAGATCCCACCTCCCCTCCATTCTGCCCCACTCTCTCCATGTGTCCTTAGATTTTAGTTTTGGGGTTGAATTTATTTATGTTTTAAAGTAGATTTTTTTAATGACTGTAAGCCACCCAGAGTTAGATGGGCAGTATAGTAAGATTTGCAGCCAATCAATTTTATAAATAAATGACTAGATAGACAGATAGACAGCCAGGAAGGATTCTCAGATGTCTGATCCAAAGGCTGTTGTTGTTGCTGTCCTCAGCACATTAAAATCCTGACAGAATTGCAATATCTTTCAGAAGAAAGTCTATGCAAATTAATATGCGGATTAAAGCCTAGCAAAAGTTTCAAATTTGGATACAAAGATACAAAGAAGCAAAGGTCCGGTACGTATAGAATTAGGCTGAGAAAAAATATGTTTTGCAGAAATTGTCTTGTTTACCTACAGCCATTTCAGAAACCGGAGAGGAGGAAAGGATGCCTGCGAGGCATGGTTTGGTATGCCTGCTCTTTGTTGCCTGCTGCATGGATCGGCGAGAAAATAATGGAGAACGGGCGGAACTATTCATTTTCTTACCTCTAAAAGTCCTTAGCTACATTTCTTGGATTGCCGTAACTTCCAGTGCAGAATGTTTGCATTTTCTCCACAAATCAAAGGATCATACAATCAAAACGTGCGGACGCTAGGAAAACTAATTAAGAAAAGCGGGTGTTCGCATTAATTTTTGCTATCTATATCAAGATGTTACTTGACATTCATACCCCGAAGCCCCTTGGTCATAAAAGGAGGGGAACTCAGTCCCCGGGATGCATTAACTGGAAACGGATGTTGGAATTAACCGGCCAACCAGGTCGTCAGCTTTCCACCCATTCTGGGAATCCTCCGTGCAAGACAATAAGAGGCTGCTAAGCACCCTTGCGCGGCTCTCCACTGGGGCCCCGCCTCACCTTCGGGCTATTAGGCCACTTCTATCCCATTGTGACGAGCAAACGCGGCGAATTCCAGGGCGCTGCTGCTATTCGTCCTGCTTAAAGCAGCCGCCCCATTTTCGTTGATCCTGGAGATAGCAAGGTTGCTAAGGCAGGGCCAGCTGGCAGGGGCGGGCGGAACCTAGTTCTAAAGGATAAATGTGCGGAGATTTAAGCGCGACTCTTGCAGTTTGCCTTTATCGCTGCGGGACTTAATCCCGGGCATCTCACTGCAATTTATATAATGTTTTTCCTCCTAAAGAGTAAACTCTTTAACTATGCACCGGTTTCCTGAACTCTGCTTCGATTGTAAAAGAATTGTAAAAGAAAATTGAGCAATGTTTTGTTTTGTTTTTCTGTATAGTTTAGTCGAGGAAACAAATTAACACCCAGGTCTCTTCTTGTTTTAGCCACCTGCTTTACTTGGGAAAACGAGTCTGTGGCTTTAGAGTCAGGATGACCATGCAAGGACATTCACCGCAATAATCAGAAGTAATCACAAACGGTAGCTTCCCATGCAGGCCTTAGAAGTCCTTGTCCTTTGGCTGCAAATGATGGGGGAAACTGTTCAAAGACGTTGTTATTACAAGGGCTCCAGGAAACTGGCTAGAATTGAAGAAAATGTTCAACAGGAGTAGTGAAGGGCTGCTTTTTATAAACAATTCCTGAATGTTCAATAGATTTGCAATACTGCTGGAGGGGGGATCCTCCATTGAAGACTAAGATCAATGAATGACTATCTGGTTTGCTCAGCCCCACCTCACCAAGGGATTTTGAGCCAGTCCCAATTTCTCAGCTTAACTTATCCTGCAAGCTTGTGATGAAGATTGTGAGGAAATGATCCAAATCATTGACATAAAAGATGGATAAGGTGAACTACAATGTTGTCTGGAACAGATCAGTCTTTGGTAGGGAGAAGGACAATCTGATCCCTACAGGTGCTTCTTAAAATAGTGTCCCTTGTCCTCAAGGACCCTTAGTTCACAAAAGTGGGACTCTACAAGTAGATTTTCCATAGATCTAATAATTAGAGCAATTCTGATTTCAGCAAGGTGCCAGTGATTTTCTTGCTATTACCAAGAACAAAAAATGGAACTACCTAGAAATGCTGTTATTAATATTTATACTATATTTATATAAATTAACTATCCTATCTGCGTGTTTCATAATTATTTCCCAAGATGCCTTTTTTTCTGTAGGAGCAGCTTTATCTAATGAGTATAACTTACTTGCTAAGAAATTACTCATATTAAACTATGTCGATGTTCTGCTCCATAAGTAACAACCCTGGAGAGAAAAGGTGACTCTAAATAATTACAGAAACCATGGGAAATTACACAGAAATAGATTATCTTGCCAGCCTGGCAGTTAATTATTGTACAGTAGAAATGACAGTACAAAATATAGCTTAGCCGCATTAAAAACACTAGAATCTTCTCACGAGGAAAAAAATGCCAAAAATCTGTATTTGAATAACATTGTAATGCTAGGTTTACACAAAGAGTGTGCTAGCTTTTGCATTTCATTAATTTTTCACCAGGCAAGATGGTAAAGGGGATAAGGAAGCTAAGGAGGAAAAATAAAGGTTTGCATTTGAACCTTGCCTATGTTAATCTTAGGGCTTGCCCCTATTATTAGGTAAAGGCTAACCACCTAAACTTTAGCTGGCATAAAATAATGCTGGCATGAAATTTGCTGTCTCTGTTTCAAAACTTGCTGGTCTTGCATCTGTTCCAAGTCACTGCAGAATAGCACTGTCCTGATTTCTGAGTGTACCAACTATTATAAGCAAAGTGTTTTGCTTTCCCTTCTGGCTTTATTGACTTTCCCTTTTACCATGTCAACAGCTGATGAGCAAGCACCTGCTGATGGAGCAGTGCAGCACAAACATGGTAGGTTTGATTTCAGGGCTCTTATCTGAGTTTCTCTAGGCTAGTTTATCTGCCCCTCTTCTTACATACTAGCTGGGCATCCTCCAATTTAAAAGCATATGAAAAAAAAGAAAGCAAAGAGAAAATGACAAGGCAAAAATTACTCCAGAGAGGTGTGAGGCTGAATTTGCCATGACACTGAGTTGTACTCAGTTCCACAGAGTGTGAAAATTGGAATTACTGTAACTGGCAAGCCAGTTCTTACTTTGGGAAGAGGAAAGTGGCTGAAACTGACAAGTATAGGGAATCTGTCAAATAAGTTAGAATAACCATTTCAAATATTCATTTTCTGAAAGCTGCCATAAGAAAAAAGGGTGATTGCTGCATTTAACAGTAAAAATGCATTTTAGAATACTACTATAAGAAAAAAACATATTTCTTTATATTCTTTCTTTATTATTTTTATAAATAACTCAAGGTGGTGAAGATACCTAATACTCCTTCCTGCTCTTATTTTCCCCACAACAACAACCCTGTGAGGTGAGTTGGACTGAGAAAGAGTGACCGGCCCAAGGTCACCCTGCTGGCTTTCATGCCTAAAGCGAGAGTAGAACAGTCCTGCTTTGGCACAAAGCTAGAAACCAGTAGACTGAGAGTTTCAGACCTGCCTTAGATATGAAGACTGACTGGATGACTTTGGGCCAGTTACTTTCCTCCAGCCCAGAGAGATCCTGTACTGGGAAGAAAATACTGCAGTTAAAGTTGGCAAGTGATTAGAGGGGAATTTGCCTCACAGTACTCCAACTCTCTAATCACTGCCACAACAGGTCATCTAATCTCACCTCAAAGATGACAAAGAACTACACATTTATGCAACTTAAAGCTGTAGCAGGATAGTACTAGATGAAGAGGAAAAGTCTTACCTTGAAATAGGTGCACCTAATAATGACTTAATACTCATGGACTGGATATGCGATAACAGCAAAAGTGGAAAACAAGGCCTTAGATGACAGTAATATGCTGAGGTGCAAATTAGATCTTATCAGAGGCAGAGAAAGTGCTACAAAAGTTGTTCAAGAAATAAAACTTTGTTTAACTGATAGTAAATCTAAGGAAAGAACTGCTACTTTCTCCTGGGATGGAAAAACTGTCAGAATCCAATTATATTTCATCTCTAGTTATCTACTATGGAAAACCCCAATTCTGCCCTCTCTGGATTCTGTCATACGATGAAGGGGAAGGTGGGGGTGAACAAAGGGATTTTATGGCCCTCACTTCCTTTGGTACAACTTCAAAAGGGACTGAATGTGGATACCACCAAAAGGACTAACCATAGCAATGGGGCCATCAGCTTTCATCTACTCCCCTCTGAAGTCTCCCTTCCGCCGGCAGTGAGGAAAAACGGGGTGGAAATGTAACACCTGGGATTATCACTGGAAGGATGGTGGGGTGGGATGGAGTTGCTGGGAACCCCTTAAAACTTTAAACCATAGGGCGTGGCCCCCAATCCTATCTAGAACACCTGCAACCATTTTCTCTTAATAGATGCCTGTTGGAAGAAATATTCCAAGAGTTCTGTCTTCTTAAGATGCAAAGTGGGGTGGGTCCTTAAAACCTTGAATGGAAGAGCTTGAACCCCAAGTCCTGTCTAGCATGCCTGCAACCACTTCTCTTAATAAAGGATTCCTGTTGGAAGAATTATTCCAAGAGTTCTGTCTTCTTAAGATGCAAAGTGGGGTGGGTCCTTACATTAGACAGGACTTGCAAAATTAATCCACCTGGAAGGGAGACCCTTGCCGGGGGATTTTGCAAAAAATTACCATGTCAGACAATGGAGCAAGAAGGGGGGAAAACTCCCTGGAAAGAGAGCCGCTACCCCAACTGAAACCCTGCCAGATGTCAGGATCTGAGAGGTCAGATTCCTCAGGAGAAAAGGTAGTGGAGACATGGGATCACAAACCTCGGTGGTCAATGGGCGTTGGAAAGAAAGGCAAATGGGAAAAGAAATCAAGGAAGGTGACCCTGAGACGGGGGGCCAACCAATCAGAATGGAAGCAGGAGATGGACAAATCCCTGCATGCAAGTGAAGAGGAAGGGAGCTGGGCACCGTACTCAGACTGGATCCTAGAGATAGCTATTGACCTAATGAACAGAACTCTCAACTCCCTAGGAGAGGAGAATTCTGAGCCCTACGGCTGCCCCAGCTCCTGGAGCCGCAAAGGAAGAGATACTGAGGGGGAAGTGGAACCTGCAGACCTGGGGACATCTGCTGATCCAGTAGCCCCCACACCCCGCCGACCCACAGATGGCGATCTGGATGGAAGACACTACCACCGACAAGGAAGGCACCGATCCATTCAAAGACTCCCGCCGCTGGACGTGAGATTCAAGGGGGAGCCAACACGCTTGGGATTTTTCCTAACCCAAATCCTCAACTACATGGGGGAATACGGGCGGCACATCCCCCGTGACAAAGCCCGTATCCAGATCATGCAATCTGCCCTGGATGGGCCGGCCGCAGATTGGGTGGTGAACTTGCACGATTCCAAAGCCCCAGAGCTCAACGACTTCAACCACTTCATGTCCTCTCTGAGAAGGCGATTTGAGGACCCCCTGGCTGATCGCAAAGCCTGCGAAAGGATAAAAACAATGAGGCAAGGCAAATGCCCGGTAGTCGAATATATGCAAGAATTCTGGGCCATTGCCAGCAAACTGAACTTGCCAGAAGACATCCTCCTTAGCCATTTCAAAGATGGACTAAATTATGACCTATATGATGCTTGCCTACCCCAAGGGGACCCACACCAACTTCAGGAATGGTACGTCTTGGCAGAGGAAGCAGAAATCGACATTCTGAAGAAGCACTGCCGAGGAAAACAATTGAGCCGCTCACCGCCTGGGTTGACATGTGAACCAGTGAAACCATCGGCTACAGCCAAGAAGCAAATGGGGTGTTTCAAGTGCGGGAAAGATGGGCATCGGGCTGTAGAATGCCACTCAAAAATGGCAAAAAAAAATTGGGGTACTACCAATTCAAAGTCTTGCCATTTGGATTACAAGGGGCCCCTGCA